AAAATAAGTTATATAAAATAAATTATATAAAATAAAGTAAAAATCATATAAAATAAATACGAAAAAAATTATATAAAAGTCATTATATAAAATAAATTAAAAATTATATAAGAAAAATATAGAATAAATTATATAATACTTGATATAATATAAAAGCATGATATTTTGTAAAAATATTAAGAAACAAGCTAAAAATGAATTAAAAAGTAATAAATAAGTAAATAAATAAACAAGTTAAATAAATAAGTAAATAAATAATAATAAGAAATGAAAAAATAAATAAAATTAAAATTATCGAAACCGTAACCGTGAATCCGACGCACGGGCGCTTTAAGGAATGACTGAAAGCGATAACAGGAACTCTGCAGACGCGAACCCCGCCGTTGACCGACGACGTCGCCTCGCGCGTGACAAGCACCGGAGGCATCGCGGGCCCGGAGACTGACGTCACGCGGCCGCGGCGTCCCGACCGCGCGTGGGTAACGTAGTCGCTCGATCCTCCATCAGGGACGAGTGTGAACGGCCAGACGAGGATCCGACTGAAGAGGCTGCGTCGTGAGGCGAGGAGACGCCGTGGCGGTTTCATGAATCAGCTGAATTATGGAACGGCGTGACGTGAGGGACCGAAAACGAGCTGAAAACAGATAAAAAAATAAATAAAAAATAGATAAAATAAACTGAATAAGTAAAAATAACAAATAAATAAAAAGTAAATCGAATTATTTAAAATTAATTAAAATTAAATACATAAAAAAATAAAATGAAAAATAAATTATAAATTGAAAACATAAAAAAATAAATAAAAATAGAGCCGGGCAGTGGTGGCGCACGCCTTTAATCCCAGCACTTGGGAGGCAGAGGCAGGTGGATTTCTGAGTTCGAGAGTTCGGGGCTAGCCTGGTCTACAGAGTGAGTTCCCGGACAGCCAGGGCTACACAGAGAAACCTTGTCTCGAAAAACCAAACCAAAAAAAAAATAAATAAATAAATAAATAAATAAATAAAAATAGGTAAAATAAACTGAACAAGTAAAAATAACAAATAAATAAAAAGCAAATCGAATTATTTAAAGTTAATTAAAATTAAGTAAAAAATAAATAAAATAAAAAATAAATGAAAAACATAAAAAATTAAATAAAATTAAAAAAAAAATTAGACCAGGCTGGCCTCGAACTCAGAAATCCTCCTGCCTCCGCCTCCCAAGTGCTGGGATGACAGGTGTGCACCACCACCGCCCGGCTTTTCTGTCACTTTTACACTTAATTCATGTCTTGTTTTATGTTTAACTGATGTGCGTATATATCGGTTTTTATCTAATTTATCGCGTTTTACGTTTAATTAACGTTATTTTACGTTTGATTCCTCTCACGTCATTTCCTCTAACGTCGTTTCGTAGGTAAGCGCCGCCGGCTTTCTGTCTTTCGTACGATGAGACTCGCCGGTTGGTCGTAGGATCCAAAAAAAACCTTGGCGCGAATCCAAATAAAAGCGATAAACGTGAATATCCGGGATATTAAACAATGCGAACCGATAGGAATTAAACGTAAAATAACGTTAATTAAAGTATGTCAATTAGTCAATCAATAAATTAGTTAATAAATCAGTTAATAATTTAGTTAATAAATTAGTTAATAAGTTAGTTAATAAGTTAGTTAATAA